TCTCTCTCTCTCTCTTTCTCTCTCTCCATCCTACTCTCCCTTTCTCCCTCCTTCCCTCTCCCCCTCCCCTTCTCCCCCTTCTTCTCCCTCTCTCTCTTTCTCTCTTTTTTAGATTTAAGGTGAAGTTGACTTCCTAGAGAAAGAATGAGAGAAACATAAGCCTTTTTCTCCAGTTCAGTGATAGCCTTCAAAACATCCAGGTTAATTCTACCAGAAAATTCCTTTTAGATGGCTCTTTAAAGGTTACCTAATCACATTTTCCTGTTTGAGTGAATGGATGAATAGATGGATGTCATGTGAACATTTCAAGTTATCTGACAAAAGTTAAGTTAAATGTCTATTCAGTAAACTAAATTTAATTTTTAAATTAAAATGATACCAGCCTGAAATGTACGTACTTCAACATTAAAGTGGAGCTCATAATATAAATTCTTGTTTTAATTGATAAAAGACATACATTTGTCATATATTAAACCATAAAAGTTTTGTTAACATATTGTTAAAATTGGAGTATGAGAGAATAGGAATTTCTGAATACACATACTAGTTTATCTATAAGTTGGAAATATACATTTCCAGGAAAAAATATTATTCCAAATTATAAAAAAAGACAGTCTTTCTCCTTGTCAACTTTTAAAGCTATTAGACAGGAAGACTTTCAAAGGCATAAACTAGTTATCTATCAACAGGAGCAATATCTTTCCAGAAACAAATTTCATTCCAAATTTAAAAAGAAAATTTGCTTTTCTCTGTGTCAGCATTTAAAGCAGGTGCCTTTTTCTGATTAAACACAATATGTTACTTATGCTAAAATCTTGGGCAATGAAACAAACAGAAAACTGTGAGCTGTACTGTTGTCATCACTTCTTTTCTTCTTTCTTCTTCTGCTTCTGCTTCTTTTTTTTTTAATTACCCAGAACACCACATAGCTGGCTTTCAAGCTTATTTTCCAGATCACTGATAGCAATGCGATTTTGTGTTTGTGTGTGTATATGTTTTGTTTTGAAAGACATCAGCCTGAAGCAGTTTCAAATTTCTAGCAACAATTTCTTAAGGAGTATGTCATAAATGAATTATTGACCACATTTTTTTCCAGGTCACTCACTTGTCAAATGCTTGGTAGGAAGATGTCAAATTTCAGGGCAACTACAGTCCGCATTTATGAACCTACTTAGAAAACTATGTAAGAGTTCTGTGGATCCTAATATGTGCTTTAGAACCATCAAGAAACCATTGTTCTTTACAATTAACATATTATTGTCTCTAAAACATATTTTATAAGTCCTTTGTCTAAAATATGGTCCCCAAATTTTCTCAGGAAATTCCATGTGCTTGGAATACTTCTTTAAACACAATTCAAAACTGCAGGGGGTAGAAGTCTGCTGTGGTTTAGTGGAGTTAACTTCTTTTAATGTAAAAAGGTCAAGATTAATGAAGAAACTAGCACATTCAAAGTTCCACTGAGAAACATCCCAATGCTTTTAGCAATTCACTTGAAATGAAGGAGGAAAACCACCCCCTTTAACATTTTAAAACTATGAAAGTCTAATGAACCATGTTACCTCCTGTAGTTTCTACCAAACCAAAATCTATGCAAGGACTGGGCTTATTAGCATTAAGCGGAAGCAGACCATTCAGCTCCAGCAATAGCTTCTTGCAATGTTTTCACCATTATCCTTCTATCTGGTTGATGAAATATTGCTTTCTAAACTGTATTTCATATTTCTTGTTGTTGATGTAAAATTCCATAAATTAAATGCCCCTCTCTCAAAATGACAAAAATACTTTCTTTTAACAAGTGTCCAGAATGTATTCATTTTTCTCCAACATGGTAGGTTCTTGAAGCCAGGTGGTTTTTGTTGTTTCAGTGTTTATTTTTTTTCTATATCCCCCAAACTATTGGATAATAGTTTATGAAATAAGGAAGATAATTAGTGATTAGAATATACAAAATATAGAATAATTAGATATATAACTTGGGTGTTTTTCTGAGTCATTACAATAGAGGCTACTATGTTATCAAAATATTAACAATCTCAATTGCTTTTAAGATTTTTACATCTCATTTTAGGAAAAGAAAACTCTGTTGCAGTTAAAAGCCAATACATTATTTAAAGCACACCCTTCCAGGTTACCTGATTCTAGTTCTATGAGGACCTTTCATTGCATTTTAGATATTTTACAAGTTGTAGGTAAGTAATACTAAGGCAACATATATCTTGTCTATAGACATGTAAATAAATTCTATTGGCTAAAGATTCATTGAATTATTTTCCTTACTCTGGAAGAACCCAGTTTTGCCTCTATTAACATATTAATTTCAATGTTCTGAATCTGTAAATGTGTCTGTTCTTTGGATTGTCCTTTTATCTGGTTGTAACATCTTACTCTGCCCTTCATTAATGAATTAATGTGCTCATTTCACATGTATTTGAAAATCATGCTTTTCATTTTTTTTCTAACTAAGGAATTATATCCACAAGATTTGCATTATATTTATATTTTGACAACAAAATACAAATGTATTTCTTAGGTTGTATATAGTTTAATTCCCAAAATTAGAATCTCTGTCTTATTCTACTGCCCCAGCACAAGCAGATGTGCATATAATTAGTATTTTGATATAAGTTGGCTCAAACAACATCACTCAAGATTAAAATCAGTATTCTATTGTGAATTTTAAAAAATGTGTATATATATTTTGATTTCCATTTCCCTAAGAATTCTGTTGATTACCGATGCTAGAGATCTTAGCAGATTATCCAAAAGTTGGAAGATCTTTTGAAAAGTGCTATATAAAAAATAGATACATACACTTATGACAAGATCCTCCATTTGGTGTGATGGGTCTAATATTACAAGGGCTATGTGTCCAAAGAAAATTGCATTGTATGTTCTATACCCCAAAAGTTTTAGATAAGACATATAATGTGATTTGCCTTTAAACCACATACCCTCTGGAGACATTGGAAAACAAAGGGATGGCATTAAAGAAAAAAAAAATATATATATATATGTATAAACAAATTTACTCACATATAAATATACATATTTATATTTGTGAAGCTAGAGATATCATCACATCCTATCCATGTTCCTAAGAAGGCTAATGGAAATAGAAACATAGTGAGAGTATTTTATGAGTACTTTGCACATTTGGCTCAAATCTACCACCTAATATAGTCTTCAGCGAGTGACTTAAAATTTCTGAATCTTGTTTTCATCATCAATATGTGACAATAGTAACATTTTAAAGTACTGTGAAAGTCAAAGTAGCAATGTCTGCTAAAGTGCTTTGGCATTGTTAAATGCAAAGTTGAGATAGTTGTAACACTTCAGGACTAATTCTAGCTTCCACATCTGTCTCTGAGGCAAAGCATGTTTCTTAGATTGAAGGCCTAGGGAGATTCATGCTAGCGTTAGTATTACTGTGCGCAGAGTTTGTAGAGAGAAGACTGAAAAGTGTTGTTCCTTTCTGATTCTCCAGGAAGACTGGAAATTATTTATTTGATCCACTTGTCAACTTGTTTTCTTTTGCTAGAGATGTGAATTCCTAAATATATATTTTCAGTAAGTTTGGAATTATTAGAAAAAAGTGTATGTGAATGTGAAAGCATAGGCATTTGGGAAGTTCAGGGGGAGTACATTGTGTGTGTGAATCCAATGCCGCTACCTTGAATGAATTATTCTTGGATATTTTTTCTCTTGAAATTCTTAATTTCTACCTGATGGGTTAAAGCAAGTAACCATCTTCCAAATACCTGGCTGTTGTTTGGAAGTATCTGTATTTTTGGCCTATAATGATCAGATAGAAAATAACTCTGCTTCACACATGAGCTTTTAGAGTCTGAGACTTGATGCTTCCATTTCCATATGATTGAGTGCAGGATAGAAGTTACAAAGGGAAAAATAATGAGCCAGTGGGAAAATCAGATGTTTATTAGTGTGTTTTCTTTTTTTTTTTTGGGGGGGGGAGGGTTTGGTAGATATGGTTTTCCTAGAATAGCAATGACACCCATATTTCAAAATAGTTTATTACACCAAGCATGGATTTTTTTTCATGGTTTGCTGTTTGTTTGTTTTTTTATATACCACATTGCTGCTTTTTATCTGGTTGATCATCATAGATGGACAGATTTGGAGAAGAGGGCCTAAATCATTCATTTGGGATGGCTCTCATTTACATATCATAGCAGTCACAAACTAAGGGCTGTCAGACAAATCATGCTTTGTTTGGAAAGCAAATTTGTAAAGAATATTGTACCTGAATGCCTTGAGGTGGTGTATATGCTCCCTGTTTTATACCCAACTGTCTTATGATATTATGGTCTCTGCCTGACTCCTACAGGCATTTGAGTTTTCAGATGCTTAGCCTATAAAACGAAGAGGATTTAATCATTAGTCTCCGTTGCTCACTCTGCTGCGTTTTAGCAGGGAAAAGTTCTAAATTGATAATAAAATCTTTCCAGAAAAATTCTTTAGACTAGACGCAGTTCAGCTTGTCAAACCTTTTGGAAATCAACAGCAGAGAGAAACACTACAACGTGGTGCCCTTTGACACTGTAGCATCCCATATTTTCACCCTGTATTGCTTTGGAGTACCTGAAAGATGTGAGTGTGGTACAGTGAATGAAGCAAAAAATAAAGAAGGGAATGGCAGAAATATGTTTAAATATTACTTTTTCCTTTTTTTCTCTTAAACTAATAAGAGTTTTAAAATGAATCAAATACATATTTTAATTGATAAACTGACTTTATATTCACCTATTGGAAACAGTACAACATATTTTACATAAGATTATGAAATATGGATGTTTTACTAAAAGACAGGAAGAGCTTTTTTCCAGTCTTTAAAGTAAATACATATTCAAAGGATCTTAAGGCATACCATTTATTCATATTCATATCTATTGAAATACTGTACATCCACATACTTCAATAAATAGTTAAAAACCTGACCTCTTTTTAAATCATTTCTGAATTTCAAAAACAATTTTTATTGAAAAGATTAAATAGGTAACTTTTGGCTGTGTCACAAAGCTAAGTACAATAGATGTATTAACAATTGTTCAATAAATTTGATCAATATAGATGATTGGCTTTGATAAATTTCTCAGCGTTTTCTGAGTTCACACATTGGGGTATTTATATGTATATATATATTGTCCTGAATTATCTGGGTTTGTAATTTTCTCAGTTCTCCAGTCTACTTTCTAGATACAGCTTAAATGTTATGATGAAGCATTAATTTTTCAGTTAAGTTTTAAACCCCCAAAATTAGCTTGAAGTTTGACATTTGCTCTCTCAAATCTTTTAGAGTCCCCCCAAATACACAATACTATAATTTGGGCAGTATTTTTCATCATATAATTGCTGTATAATAGGAATTTAATGGTGTAACAGGACTTACATTTCAAATAGGATCATTGTAAAACATAATTACACCACTTGCAGTTAAACCAAGAATGCAAATGAATTAAGTCTATTACCCTAATATTCTGGTTCTCCCTCCCTCTCTTCCATCCTTCCTTCTTTCCTCCCTTTCCTATTTCCTTTCTTCCTCCCTCCCTTCCTTCTTTTTCTCTCCCTCCTTTCCTGCTTTCTTCCTTCTTTATTTCCTCTCTCTTTACTTCCTTCCCTTTTCTGCCTTTTTCTTTTCCTTCCACTCTCCTTTCTCAGCTGCTATTTATTTTTCTTTCTTCTTTCTTCAACAAAAAATTCAGGGGAACAAAAGAAATCCCACAAATGTAACTTGTGGAAATATAGTGCTGAAATGAATAGCTAGAAAGAAATTATTATAGATCAAAAGGTAAATCAATTTCATAAAACTGCTATTCTGAAATTGCAACAATCTTGTACAGTCAGGACTGATAAAATGGAGTAATCAGATGTTTCATATGTCCATAAATGTAAAAATCATCTACTTGAACATTATATGCAATACATTCACACAAAAAAGCAAATACTGTAGCCTTATTTGAACAATACTGAACTCATAAATACTCATGATTTCACTCTGTCCAGGGGCCTAAGGACTAGGAATGCTGCTGTGATACAGAAAAACATAGTCAATACCTCCTCTATTTAAAAATGTCACTCAAGAAAGTCTCTTCTAACATAAAGGCAAATACATATGGCTACTGAGCTATGACTGTACTTCTGTCACATTCTATGGTAATAACACCAGACTCCACAAATTCGGAATCATGACAACACTTTGAACTAATTATTTGGTTCATCCATAGTTTATATCTCGATTTACCTCACATTTACCCTACAAACCTTACAAAGAGGAGGTATTTTTAACTCTAGGAAAGCGGTCACTGTATAATATGCATTCTTGATCTGTTTCTTTCTCCCGAACAATGGTACTGATGGTTAACACTTCTGTGGTAGCACCACTATTTCTAGTAAGTAGATTATAATGGAGTGTGCCACTTTAAAGCTGCAATACAAAAAAATATTCTGTAATTTACTTACCAGTTCCACATAGAATATTTTTAAGAAGCAAATCAATAATAAAGTTAAAATGCCATGTTAAAAAATTTTTAATATGTCATTCAAAGTAATATAATAAATTATTACATGAGGAAATTTAATAGCATTATGCCATATTATTGTCATTTTATGGAAACATTGTATATTTATGCCTCATTATTTAGGATTCATTTTTCTAATTAGATTTACGATATACTTTGGGACTAAATTTTACTTGGAGAAATCATGATTTTCAAGTCATCTCTTTTAGGGCAAAATATTAGATACGTTAAATATGTACAACTTCTGTGAAATTTCTTGTATTTAACTTTATTAATGGGCTTTTTTTGTTGTTTTTATGAGTTGTAAAAGGGGACTGTCTATTTGCAGAAATCTCTCTAGGTGTAGTGAAATTGGTAACTTCATCAAGCTTGTAAAATGACTTTCAAGGCTATGGTCTTTAGTAAAGAATAAAACCATCAAACTATTCCTGTTATATAATACTTCCTAAAGCAACAGCACTTTCCTTCAAAAATGTAGTTTTGATTCTTTATAACAGAAATAATTTAATATGCATGATAATTTTATAATTAATATATCTTAAGATATTCTCATCACTGGTCTCATCTTCATTTGATCATACATGTATCATGTAGGAAGAAATAAAGTGGGTAATTTTTTTTTGGCTTTATTTGTTTGAGCTGACATGGCTATAGAGAAAGATTTTATTATAGAATTAGTTATTTCAGAGATTGATCTGCTGCATACCAGCATGGAATATTTGTTATAATGTATTTTGAAAATGTTCTATATAATGTGCATTCCAAACTATCAACTGAGTGATGTTTTCAGATAAAAAATATGCAAAATACTCTTCTCCAGAGGAGCACCTTATCTTACCAACTTACCTGCCATAGAACCAAATTAATTCTGAGTGCTTACCAACTGGTGTTTTGTTAGGTGATTGGACTTTGTGTCCTTTCTGAAAAGCCATCTTTAAAATGTTGGCTTGGAATAGTGACAGGAAAAGACATGGGATTGCTCGGCAATCTCTTCGATGGACTGTGCTGTCTTTACAAAGGGAATTATTTCCCAAAGTTTTTCTAACATTTAGCTACAACTAAAGAAATACAGTAAATTTACCTGTTGTTTTTCATCACAAATCTGAGTGACTGTGGGGCAAAATTCTCAAACACCATTGGTAATGATGGAAGAAATTTTTACAGTCCAATAGCTTGTTCCTTCTTCAGAGATAGGACATAGCTTAACTTGATCACTGTGTTTATGTTTGCTTTCAGTTGTAGGATTTGGCAAAATGTTTTTGGAGACGAAGAGAAAAGTAGTATTTTATGAAGGCACACCCATGCTGAACTTACAGGAAACAAGCAGAGCTGCACAGCCAGTTATATTACAAGGCTCATTCCTGAAACCTGAATATCATGCGAGCAGAAAAATCTAGATATGTGTTATAGTTTGAAGAAATGATCTGAAGGCAATATTATTTGCTTTTTTATCAAAGAAGGAAAAAAAATGCATCGTTGTAAATGTGGATTGATTCTGATTGAAACAGGGAAATGAATGCTTGTATTGCAGCCTTAAAGAATCCCATAGTCACTGCAATATTCGTTTTTTTGTAAACTACAGCCTGCAACCTAGCAGACCATGACTGAATGCTTCTGAAAAGTTGTAGAGTACAAACATGAAATCACAATTAATATCCTCTAAAAGTAATTTCAGAGCCTTCACGTCTTAAAAAAAGGACAATGTGTACTGCTTCACAAGGTAATGTAGCTAATCAAAAAAGGGTAGAATTAAAGTATTTACATAATGAGCAACTCTACAGAAGACCATCATCCCCGTGTAAGCACTGCTGATTATATCCCACGCTGCTTTTAACAAACTGTACCAGATTGGATCCAGCCATCAGCACTTTCAGAGAATCCTTAAAAGCCTTTTATGGGTCTTTAAATTTATTGTAGAATGGCATTCTTCAGGTAGAATATGCTGGTGAAAGAGGACAGTGTCAACACAAGGTACCAGCAGGAGAAAAGAACGTCGGCACTCCCGGTAATTCCATACTGGGCTGTACTTGGAGCTGGAAAGAAATGGAAAAGACTGAATCAAAATCTAATTTGTCTTCCAGGATCTTCACACTCATCAAAAGGCATCTTGGTATATTGGGGCACTGTGCATCCTATTTGACTAACCTTTCTATGCTTCATTTTTTCCCCCCTTGGGGGTAAAATAGAGATAATATAATCCACTTGGCAGGTTTTCAGTGAGAATTGGAGATGAAGCACATATAGCACATTGCACTGGGCCAGACATATACTAAGAACTGAATATATAGCAGCTAACATGATTACTCTTTCTATATGCCTTATACATATTTGTTTTAGTGGACAATATTCATTCATTCAGGCATAATTTTTTTAAAAATTATTTTTATTCAGATATAATTGACATACAACATTGTGTAAGTTTAAGGTGTACAATGGCATTGATTTGATATGTTTATATATTGTAATATTACCACCTTAGCATTAGCTAACACCTCTATCACATCATATAAAGATCATTTCTTTCCTGTAGTGGGAGCAATTAAGATCCTGTCTCTTTGCAACTTGGAAGGTTATAATACTGTATTGTTTATAATCATCATGCTGTGCATTAGTACTCCAGGATTTATTTGTCTACCAGTTCCAAGTTTGTTCTCTTACTCCCCAGCTTCTGGTAATCACCATTAGACTCTCCATTTTTAACGAGTTCAACCTTTTTAGATTCCACATATAAGTGACATTATGCATATATTTGTGAATCTTTTTTATTGGCCATATACTGTACTACATGCTGGAAAAATAAACAACAGATTCTGTCTTCCAACTTTTTTGTTTGTTTGTTTATTCTGGAGGTGAGGAAAGGTATTCAAATAATATAATACAATCCTAGGAATGTTAGAGTTGCATATACACACTGCAATGACACAGAAAATTGTATATTTAAATCTGTCCTGGCAATGAAGGAATGGTTTAGCAGAGAGTTTTACCAAAGGGGACTATCACTTGGCTAGAAGAAACAATATATTCATGAGGAAAGAAGAGGGCAGAGCATGTATTCTAGGATCTAGAAGTAGATTAATCTTGTTGGACCATAATGTTTGAGGCCTAAAGTGGAGGGACTTGAAACTGGAACTCTAGGCAGATAGAATAATCTCAATGAAAATAATAAAAAAAAAGTTTAGCTTTTTTATACTGAAGGAGATTTTGAAGAATTTAGAGCTTCAGAATTGTATGAATCCATTTACATGTTAGAAAGATAACAGTTTTATTCAGGAGAAGCTCATGTGGCACTTGGATAACAGTTGTGTTGAATTTTCATGGAGAGATTTCACTTAGAGACTCACAAAACTTGGGATTTGTGGGGGTCCACTGAGTAGATTCTACTTTATTTCACAAAAGGACAGTTGTCTCTTTGCAAATTATATTGTGTTCCAGAAAGTGAATGTGATAGTCATGCTCAGCCTCGCTTGAGACCGATTCTCATTTACCATAATAATTATAACAGTAACAATAAACAAACTCTTCCACCATACTTTTAACTACTTTTTTTTTTTTTTAAAGATTTTTATTGGAGAATTGGGGGAAAGGGAACAGACAAGTTGCTGTCCTTTTGTTCTTCAGTCTAGCTGTGGAGGACGTTGCTTCACTGGCCCAAGTTGGCACCATCATTGTACTCCTCCCGAGTGAGGCAGATCATTCGCTGGCTTCTGGATGGCTACTCACGCTGGCTGCTGGCTACACACGGTAGCCCATGGCAACCCACTGCAGCAGGGGCTGCAGTCTACATCACTGCCGGTGACTCATGGCAGCCCAGCTCCAGGTTGAGCTGTTGTTCAGCATCTTAGCTGTAGAGGGCAGTGTCACTGGCCCTCTTATGAGGGATCCGAACTGGGGCTTTCTGGTGTTCCAAGCCAGCTCTTAACCAACGTGCCACTCGGCCGGCCCTAACTATTTTTTCTTAATGAATCCTGAATTTCAAGCACAGTTTTCTAATACAAAGTGAATAATGTAATAAAAATATATACTATTTTACCCTTAAATCCATAACTCAAATCTAGGAGCAGTTTTAATTACTGAATTTGAATTACCAGCAGGTAGCTTTTAATGGAACTTTCACCAATGACTATATTTCCATACTACAAGAAGAATTAATTGCATTGTTTATACCTATAAGAAATTAGAGGCAGTGAAAAATGCATTGGTCTTTGCCAGTAGGAAGTTTCCTTGACAGTACAACTGTTGGTTTTAGGTGAGTGAATTCAGGGGCTGAGGCAACTACTCTTTAGTAAACATAGAGCAACATCAACTATTTAATGCTTTTGTTTGTTTTTTTTGCATCACAAATAAGTTCTAAAAAATGAGATTGTGAAGAAAATAAGCCTATTGTTGAACAGATAGCTTTTCAAGTTTTGCTAGCTAACAAGCCTAATTTAAAACCCTAAAACTCCTTAAATTTTCTACTGTTCATGACGTAAAAAGATGTTGTCTTTTTAAAAATATAAATAAATATTTAATTGGTCTATTGCCTTCTCAATGACAGCTATTTCAGAGTTATTTTTGCTGTTGTTTTTTAAGGATCTTGAGTGCAATAAAAACAGTATAATAAACAAAGCATATAAAATGATTTCATAAATAAGAAATAAATCTTAAAAGCCAAGCATCCAAAGAAAGATAAAATTTTATTGTCTTGACTAATTAAATAGTACGTTAAGTGGGTAGAGTATAAAGAACCCTCAAAACTCCATATCCATACTTTAACATGCATTTTGCAGGCAACCTTTTTTGAATCCCCTCTCTTTCAAAAAGCTGAGAAGATTACACTGATGTGTCCTTAGGCCACCATATATATATATATTCCCTTTATATGGCTATAATACTGAATTTCAAATAATTGTATAAATATCTATTTATCTCACCAGATTATAAAGTCCCTGAAATCATGTTTTATTTTTCTTGATGTTTCCAGGCACCAAGTCTGGTACACAGTAGATGCTCGAGAAATGTCTGTTGAATGAACAATTCAACTAAATAAATGAATAAGTCAGAATTAAAAGGGATATTTTTTCTCTTATAAAATGGAATTTCTTCTGAATCCAGCCACTTGCCTATAGGATACAGTATTTACAATATACGGCTTTCATTCATTCAGCAAATATGTACTGAACTAGGTACCAGGCTCTATACTAAGAATGAGGAATATAATAACTGATAAGGTAGTTATGGTCCTTTTGTTACTTAATTCCATATAGCCCCATGTACACTCCCTTTTTTTTTTTTTAGGTGAGCCATCCTGCCACCTGTTGGCAGCTCAGCGGCAATTCAGCTCGGGCTGGACTCGAACCACTGTTTCTCAGAGCTCAAACCCTTGAGTGAGCTCTTAACCAATTGAGCCACTTGGCTGGCCCTTACACTCCTTTTATCATATACTTTTAATGACATCTTTCCCCCCAATGTGCCTTTTTATCTTCTACTGGGCCTCCTATTATCTTAGACATGACAAAGATATATCGATAAAGTATTTACAAATTAAATATTATTTTGCAATTAATAGAGTATATACATATTTTCCACAGATGTCCCAAATTAATATACTTATTAGTTTTGTGAATGCAACACGTTTATTAGTCCTACAATAAAGTAGGGGCCTGTTGCTGCACTGCTAGGCTGCAATTACTATAATAAATGTACTGTAGAATTGCTATTGACAATTAGCAGGCCAAAAAACAAAGAGTAAAGTTAGTCAAGTGAATATGAGGTCAAATATGTAATGCCAAGTTATATATCATGATTCATACTCCTTAAGTATATATTGAATGCCTTTATGTGCTAGGAATTGAACACAGGTAAAGATGAATAAAACTCCATTCCTCTCCTAGGAAAGCTTCATTCTAGTTGGAGATATAAATAAAAAGGCAAATATAGAACATTAGGATATATACAGTGAACAAACGTGGGAGGGCTCCCCAAGCAGTCACTGTAGGTAAGTAGTCCAGGCAGCACATACAAACACAATTATTTCAAAATGCAATGATAGACACATATTAGTATGTATATATCTCACTTTTTAAAAATGGTTGCATGGTGGTCCATTGACTTGATGTAGCCTATTATTATATAACCTTAGTCCCATTGACATATTTATTATGTGTTGTTTTGTGACTTGTTAATTGAATGATTTAAAGCACAAGGCTAATGGTACTAAAGTTAAAAGTCTCATCTCAGTACTATTTGGAACAATTATATTTGGTTGGCATGTTAAAGCCCAATCAGCTATTTAAGAAATTACAGAAAATCTTAAGAAATTATAGAAAATAACTGATAGAAATTGTAGAAAATAGCTATTAGAAATTAGCTTCGAGACTCAGTTGAAGTATCATCTCCTTTAAAAGAGAAAACTCTCTATAAAATCCCACAGGCCAAATAAACTTGGCACCATATTTGATACATTTACATATCTATCGCATCATATTTACATATCTATCTTTCCCTATTATACTAAGAATGTTTTCAAGCCAAGATTTATTATATGTATCTTTATCATTGGTACAGAACACAGAATCTGATACTTAGTAAAATGTTCAATAATGTCTGTTGAATGATGAAAGTTCATATCCATTTCCCATACAGTTACCATATACATCCAAAGGGACACAATACCTTGGCTTCTTTTTTCTGAAGAATATTGTCTTCCATCACTCACATTTTACCTTCTAAGACCTATACCCAGTCAGAATACCTTCCTTCAGCTTTTGAGCAAAAAGATCATGAGGCAGATTATATAAGAGATAGGCATGTGTCAAACTTTGTCGCATCATCCTCTTGCATCAAAAGACAGGGGGTATAGAACCCATGGCCCCCAGATATAGGCCTGAATTTCCTAGGAGACATCCTTCCAGCTGTGCCTCTGGGGTGGTCAGATCTGTTGTATGTGCTCTGCCATGTTTTTAGTTGCCTGTGTATGTCATACTGCTACTCATCCTGAGTAAAATCAGGAGGGATAGGACATGTGGTCAGAGGTATAGCTGGGCTACAGTGA